ACCTTTGCTTTTTTCGACTGATGTACTATGTCAACTTCACTCAAAAACATAAAACAACGCATCAGTGATGTGTGTTAGCTTAAAACGAATAAAAGAGGCTTCACCCTGAAGTCGTTTCCAGAAAGTTACTTATCCGATCTAGGCCACACGATTTAGATTCCGGAAAATGTTAATCTTTTACCAATTATTTTATTGTGAGCGAGAAAGAACTAGAAAAACAGGTTTTCGAGTGTTAAGGATGTTTTTGACTTTATCAATTCCACTTTTCGTGCATCGGCAACCAAAATCGGTATCAAAAGGCACGCTGATGGAAGATGGTGGTGTACACTACACATTTTCCAAGAAATGTTATTTCGACTGTTTACTCGATTTTTACGATTTTAATACCTCACACACGTTTATGCAGGATGAGCTTTTAGTTTGCAATCGGTTATATAACATAAACATTAAAAATACGCCAATCATTACAAGGTGACTCATTGTACTCGTATTTCCGTTGTTATACAGCTCCACGAAGCTGTCTAGGATATAAAATTACAAGCCGAAAACTATCGCGTAAATTAATATGAAATCATTCAACCAAGCAGTAAAAATGCTACCTCTACCAGGAGATAACTGAGTGTTTGATTAACGACTTTTGAAGCTTCTATTACTTACCTAACAATAACTTAATTCCAATCATCTTCAGCGGATTTCCAAGCAACGTGTTAACGTGTATATCGCCCATTTTGAGGATTCTACAATATACTACAAGAGTATCGCTTAAACTCTACTTGAAAATACGTGTGAGCCGAAATATTAAAAAAAAAATTTTCAGTTGCTAGAAACTCAAAAAGATTTTGTTACTATGTACACTGGCTTGCTGTCTCTCTTAACTATCCCGAACCAGGTGCATTTTTTATACGAAAAATACTGCACAATTACTTATAGTTTGGAAGGTAGGACTTTACAGGGGACTATTCTTTATTCAAAAAAATAATATTTTTGTACGTATAATTATGTGCCTATATCATACAGGCTGTTTAAGAAGGAAATGTTTTTTTAGATTTTTCAAATGGTCAAAAGGTTGTATATTCTTACATTTCTAGGATTTCTGGGATTAGAAACAAATTAAATGACATAACATTAAAATCATATTTACCCAAACTGGTATCCTGATATCGCATTTATGGCCTGAAACTGATTGCCCAGGGATAATCTTTAGGATAAGGGAACCGTACCTGCTATTTATGATTTTCGCAGAAGTAAAGAGTAAATTTAACTACTTTCAGGTACCTTGTTTACGACACTGTAATCGAATTTATTGCTTGAATCCATGAATACACTTCTATTCAATCCTCAGATACCTTTTAGTCCGTAGACCTTTGCCCTAAGTATCAAAGTATGTCTACCTGCCTGCCTCGTCACCCAGAAACCAAAGAAAAATACTCCAGACGTATTACGGCTAGAAAAAGCGCATAGGAATTTGTAAGGATATATTATCATATCTGTTCAATAGGTCACTTTTATCAGGGAAGTATCCAGAGTAATTTAAAATGTCGGATATAATACCTTTACTGAAAGAAGGGTAATAACCTCGACAGACATATTTCATTGCTTTCAACATTTTCCAAAATACTTGAAAGACTTTTTGCTGTAAGACTAACCCACAATCAACTTATTAAAATTAAATGCAAAAAATCAGTCCTTGCCTGTTCGGATTTTTCAGAGTTAAAAGCACAATAGATGCAATTATTAAGTTTACTGTTTACAAGCAGCTCGATGCAAAGAAAAGACCCTTGGGATATTCTTCGATCTAACAAACGCATTCGATTTAGCGGAAAATGCAAGATTTTGATATAAGCTCGAAATGTGTGAAAACAGAAGATAACTCCTGAAGTAGTTGAAAACTATTTAAGCTGTAAGAAACATTTGGTAGAAATTGAGTCAAAAAAATATTTCTTGGAAAGTAATATTGGTTTACCGCAGGACTCGTTATTGGGACCTCTTTTATTGGTTGTATTTATCAATGATTTACCTCAGCAGATAGCAACTGGAAAAACAATTCTGTTTACAGACGATGATTGTAGTCTAATAAGTGCACTCTTGAAATAAATACCTCAAAATCAATAGATCCCTTTGCCGGTGATAAATTGCTGGTAAATGCTGACAAATGCGCAGAGCTAAACTACGACAATCAGAAACAAGACGCTTTCGTACTCTTAGCATTGCATGGATTGGTAGCAGATTCCAGCAAGTATGTAATAAAATCAGTAAACTTTGTTATGCTGTTGCTCAGCTTCGAAAAATAGTTAATCTTAATAATCTGCGTTCAAGTGGTTTCTGGCAGTAGTAAACAATGTTTGAGGGTATTTATAATTAGAAAGAGAATATTGAGAATATTATCTACAGTTGATGTACATTTTCAAACAGCATAGAATATTACCACTTCCATCTATTTGTATCATGCAAATACTGATTTCATTGTCGCAAAGACGTCTATAAGTTTGTAATATTTGTATTTTAGAAATTCCTCACCAGTGCAGTGCTCTTTTCGAAAAAAGTGTAGCACATAATTGCGTAACTTTGTTCAACAAATTATCATCCAGCTACAAGCAACTTCATTTCAAGACTTTCGAAAGGGATATTAAAAAATTGCTGTTACTCGGGGGATGAATATAATATGTTATCTCCTGTTAATGTTTTTCAATGTATTTATGTACCATAATGTTCTTCAAGAACTTTAATTTTCATATATTCTTATATATCATATACGAGTCCCTTCCCACTTCAGTCGGCCCAACTATTGAAATCTTAGTTTTTTTCTGATCAAACACAAATAATAAAAATGTAGCAGGGTGTTATAGGTTTAAAATATTAACAATGAATATTTTGATAATATATAGTAGAAAAGACCAACTTTATCACTCCCTAATCAAATTTGCAGCATAAAAATAACACATGTTGCAATTACAGCATATCAACCTATTTCCATTTCAATGCTGTGAAAAATAAAATCCATGACAATTGTTTTTATTAATCACAGCTATCAGAATACGTTTAAAATAGTTTTGGGTAGTTAAGGTTTTCAAAATGGGTAGAGGAAAGGTTATTAATGAGAAAATTCGGTTACTGATAATTAAATTTTTTAATTCTGGGAAATCAAACTCAGAAATGGCAACTTTGTTAGACTTATCGCGGTAAAATGTGAGAAATATTGTTATAAGATATAACGTAACTAGTTCAGTTAATATTAAGCCACGATATATGAAAAAAAGGAATATCACAATTGCCGACCGAAGAGCATTAAGAAGAATAATCGTGAAAAACAGGCGTGCCAATTATTTACAATTAAGTGCTCTGTGGAGTGACGCTGTTGGAAGGAGAATTTCGAGGTCCATAACTCATAGAGAGGCCACAAACTGGGATTTAGTACTTGCAAGGTAAGTTTTCTTATAAAAAAAAGTGAAGTAAAACCCTAAAGTTGCACAACTTGTTTATAGGCCAAAGAAAAGCCACTATTAACTCCACTGCAAAAGAAAAATCGGCTTAGATGGGCTAAAGAGCATAGACAATGGACACCTCAACAATGGTGAGCAATACAATGGAGTGCCCGATTCGAAGTTTGTGTTGTGACAGTCGCAGTTGAGTTATTCGCAAAAAAATGAAGCATTCCATGTTGACTGTCTGAAGAGAAAAGTGAAATTTCCAGCATCCATTATGGTCTTGGGCAGTATGTTATCAAAATGAGTAGGAAAACTTCATTTTCTTGATGGAAATGCGGATACAAACAAATATTTGGCAATTTTAGAAGAATCGCTTTTACCAGTGATGGAAGAATATTTGACATCCGGCCAAGCTTTAAGAAATATGGGATTATTTTACACCAAATTTTTGCCAAAACTTGGTTAACACTATTCCCCAAAGAATTTCAGCCGTAATAAAAAATAAAGGTGATGTTACCCAATGGTAATCTTTCAATTGTTGCTTTGTTAACTTCGCGCATTTATTCGCAATTGTTTATTTGTTCAGATGTTCTATTAGTTATAGGTCTAAGGGTTTTCAAATATGCATTTTTTACGACTAGAATTTATCTAAAATGTTTTTGAGAAAATAAATTGTTTTAGAAGTAAATAGTTTCGTCATGTTTAGTTATAAAGGCATATTTTGGTACAAATCTTGAAGTGGGCCAACTGAAGTGGGAAGGGGCTCGTACAATACAATAAATACATTGTCTATCTTGACATTTTTACTACTCCTACTACATACTGAAATCCAGACAATAACATGGAATAAAAAATGTTTTTTGCAAATGGTAAAAAATAGTAACATGTATAATTTTCATAAGTGACAGTTGATTTAAGTGGATACTTCGCAGATGGATTACAAAATTGTTTACTCAAATGTGATAACCTTAGATACTCGCATTAAAACCTATAATTAAACACCCGTTAGAGAAAATTTGCAGGTATAAATACACGGAAGGGCTGTTTGCCAGTCAGTTAACAAGTTAACGCCTAGCAGCGATCATCTATCTCATCTACACTTTGTTTTCATTTTCGACGCATCTTCTCCAATCCGTAAAGTAAAATGGCATCTCAAGATCATCAAATGGAAAACGGAAATTTCTCAAAAGAAGTTCCAGTGGAAGGCCACGAAAACGGTTCAACAAAGGCTTCGAACGCTGACAGCAGCAGTGCCGGGAAGACTGGGCCTGATGATAGAAAATTGTTTGCTGCTGGATTAAGTATGGAAACCACCGAGAAGGAGCTCAGGGACTACTTCGGACACTATGGTGAAATAGAAAGCATAAACCTTAAGTCTGACCAACACACCGGCCGGTCGAAAGGATATGCCTTCATCGTTTTTAGCCATGTAGAGGCCCTTGATAAGGTATTAGCTGCTGGTGAACACACAATCAACAACAAAAAAGTTGATGCCAAGAAAGCCAAGAAGAGACCTGGTAAAATATTTGTTGGTGGACTAACATCGGAGCTCAGTGATGACGACATCAAGAACTACTTCTCACAGTTTGGCAATGTTATTGAAGTTGAAATGCCATTTGACAAGATCAAGAACCAGAGGAAAGGATTCGGCTTCATTACATTTGAATCTGACCAAGTTGTTAATGATCTGCTGAAGAGACCCAAACAGACTATTAAGGGCAAAGAGGTGAGTTTTGATATATTATTCTTAGCTAAAAGATAATAAACTTGATCCATTAGAAAATATATATTGGATTCAAACTAACAGAAGCGCATTTTTAAATTGATTATTTCTTATAAGCGATAAATTAGCTTTGCTAGTTCATACAAAAAACCACTCCTAGCTACCAATCTTTACATGGCCTCAAAGGGAACCAATGATTTTAGGATAGTTGTTTTGATAACCTTAATTATTATTATAACCATTTAATAGTCAGTTTTTTTGTTCATTACTCTAACCCCAGCAATGAATGTGGGATTACATTTTAAAAGCTTTTAACGATTTATGCACTGATACTGATGAACAATATTATAATTTTTTAACATACATTTTTAGGTTTGTTAAAAATCGAAACTCATTAAAACATAATAATACTTTTCTGAAATGATAATATTCCACATATGCAGGATCTGCGAAAGGTTGGAAAATCTCGAAACTGGAAATATTACAGACCAAAATATGTGAATTAACCTAAACATTACCTAGTCCAAAGATAATAGTTTGCGAGATACATGGTATCAAAGTTACAATTTTATTTTCAATTTTTTCTTATTGCTTGAGAAGTATTTCAGATTTTTATATAAAACTCGATATATTGAGGTTTTCTGGTATGAGAATCAAGAATCCGTTATTTTTTTTTGGCCAAACTTCTATAAGGCGCCACTTACAGCACTATTTCGGTAAATAACTTGTCATAACTTTTTTGTGCTACCCTGTATACAACTGACCAAAAAATCTTATTTTCTCGTATTTCCACAACAAAACAGGTTTATTTGTTAGAAGTGTCTAGAGCTAATAGTTTTCGAGGTATTTGTTTTTAAAAGTTCCAATGCATTATTTATTTGTACCATGATAAAACGTTTTTATAACAATAATCAAGTTAATAAGTTTTGGAACTTTTAAAAACAAATATCTGGAAAACTATTAGCTTTAGACACTATTAGCAAGTAAACCTTTTTTGTTGTGGAAATACGAGAATACAGGGTAGCACAAAAAAGTTACCAGTTATTTACCGAAATAGTGTAAGTGGCGCCCTCTAGAAGTTTGGCCATAGAAAATAATGTATTCTTGTTTCTCATGCTAGAAAACCTCCCTATACCGAGTTTTATGCCCAAACCTGAAATACTTCTCAAGCGATAAGGAAAAATAGAAAATAAAATTTTAACTTTGACACCCTGTATCTCGGAAACTATCAACTGTTGAACCACGGTATTTTTAGGTCAATTCACATATTTTGGTCTGTAGTATCTCTAGTTCACAGATTTAACAACCTTCGTACACTCCCTGTATACTAGATTAAAACGAGTAACTACTGTTTTCTTATCATTTTTCATTTCGTCAAACAAGCTTTGCCTTTCTTTCAAACTCATTTGCGAAACAGCGAAGCTGTTTGTGCTATTATTATAGCAAGAAATGCTGTAATCTAACGCTTTGTTTCAATTACATTGTCCTGTGGATTCTTCGGTTGAGCAATAAAGATATATTACTGTTATAACACATGTTGCATATTCAGACTCATGGTTCTTAAGAAATTAATTCTTTACGGACAACCTGTTTAATTATTTTTCTTTTGGCATCAGGTTGATGTAAAGAGGCCGAAACCGAAACCTGACCAGATGGGCCCAATGATGATGGGTCGCGGTGGCCAGGACTGGAACCAGACCTATGGCGGCGGATTTGATGGGTATAGTCAGGGCTACGACTACAGCGGATATGGAGGATACGGCGGACAAGATTATTCCAACTACGGAGGTTATGGTTCCGGACACCGAGGTGGCATACGAGGTGTTCGAGGTGGACAACGTCAACAGAGGCGCCAACCTTATTAAATATGTAGTCCACAGGATGAGCTTTTAGTGTTTAATCGGTCGATAGCTCCGTAATTATAAAAGGTAGCTGGAAAAGTTATTTATAAGTATTGTAGGCAACTATATACTACTTACTTGTAAAATATTTAGAGTGATTCATATCTACACAAATATGGAACGGCCTGTAGATTTTTCAAGAATAAGTTTCATATAGCATGCATACTGTATACCCAACTTGCATGTCAGTCATTTTTGCAGATCGTGCAGGTTTTTTTGTCAAAATAAGCACCATATCCCAAGGTTTATCTCCATGCAAACTTTTTTAATTGTATGCATCATCTACACTTGGTGTTTATGAACGCAAACTATATTCTCCTTTCAAAAACTTTAATTTGTTTTGGTTTAAAATTTTTGAGAGTATTTTCCAAGAATTACGTTCCAAAATAAATAAATACCACATAGTTTTAGTGGGTGGAAAGTATTTTCAGTGAAGGCCTGTACTTCCGCATTGAAAATAATCCGTTTTCACGAATCATTATTCATCAATTATTTATTTTGAATTGTAATTTCTGGAAAACTGCAAATAACTTCGAAATTTAGTATTTCAACCCCCTACCCCTATACCAAGACAAAACTTCCAATCCAAAATCTTTAAAATATAGCCGGTGTTTCATTTGTTAACAAAAAGTACATTTTGCATTTATTAACACCCTATGGGCAAAATTAAAAAATGTTTAAATAGCAACAAGTTATGGGATATCATTTTGACGAAAATTTGCTATTCTAACTACAAAAATGACTGAGTTACAAGTTGTCGAAAATCGAGTGTTTTTCCGGACAAAACATCTCTTAGCTCCAGAAGTAGCTATCCAAACCTTATGATATGCTTCAAACTTTTTACGAAGAGTCCTTCCAGACCATACTATAATATACATAACATTCCATTTGAAGAAATGCATAATTATGAAGCACATAGTTATAAATCACCCTGCAGGAGAGCTGTATATTTTGCAAGAAGCGTATTTTTGCCTATAATTTTTGTTAATATATTTCATCTTGTATAATAACCGACCGATACTAAAAACTGACCGTGTATGTGGTATGTGTGATATTTGAAGTTCGTTCCAATTTGTAATGCATGACAAGAAAAAGACTTTTGCAAGAAATGGGTCTGCTTCAGGCCCCAATAATCTTATATCACAAATGTATATAAAGAATGTACATAGTAAGCATAAGTTAACACTTTTTAGAAGTAAGCATAATAATAAGATGTGAGCAAAACCTGAAATGCAAATTATTAAAAACTCAAGACAGAATTACACTATTTCATTTGTCTGTTTCCCTTAACGTTTAATTCGACACATAGTGAGTAATAAGCGTATTGTATAGAGTATGTTGTTACTAACGTTACAGCACTCAAGCGTCATAGGGACTGCACCAACTAGGTACTGCACACCAAGTGCTGAGCTTCAGAGTGTGACGTTTTTTTCTGTAACCCACTGTACTTAAGTTACTTTTCCAACAAGCTTGTTCAAATGGAAACGCAACTGATTGTGCTATCTACTGGAACATGTGTGGCAGACTGTAAGAACGTCTGGCAAATGTTGCATAACATACGCTCTGTACATTTATTTTGATATCTGCAACATTTCAATTCATGTTACGCGCACTGGCGCCTTTGTTCCTGGCGCTTGTTCAGCAACATTTTGTTTACATTAAAACTTTCTGACACTTATGCTGGCGCATGACACGGTTAATAAACACAGTCAAAGTAAACAAACAAAAAATAAAGATATTTTTTATTTTAATTTAATTTTCTATAGAGTAAGAGGATGTCAAGGGCAGATAGGAGTATGTCTAGGGGGAGGGGGTGCAGTATGTTGGTCGCAGCATCTTAATAATGCGGTTCGTCGCAGGAGGGGGAGGTTAACGGCAAATAAATTTTGAAGAGCGGAGGCCCGCGGTATCTGAGAGCAAATGCCCTTGTAACAACATTGAAGAGCGATGGTGGGATAGATCTAGGGGGGCACTCGTCGCGCGATTTAGGTCTAGCAAAGGCAATTTTACACTAAGATACAGCCAATATATATCATTTTCTTGAAAACAGAAATGGCGACTTTGGCGTCTAGGGAGGCGCCCCCGCGCCTCCTCTAAACCCACTCTTAAAGGAAGGCGTGATTAAATTTTGAAATAAAAACATTTACGGTGTCGCTGGATATAGTTAATAATTGGTTGTGAGACCTTGATACGTTTTAATTTTCTTCATAATACGAGTCGCGGTCTTGGGTGCTTGCAGTCCTATTTTTTATGAAGCTATCATTTATGGTTTCTCAATCAACTGTACAGGATATAGCTATTCCGAGTAGCAGCTAATTTTACAGGAAAGAAGGGCGCTTCTCTTCCCATGATATAACTCGCCAGATCAACATATCATCATTATATATTATAGCATCATTATCTTGTTGGAAAATAGGGTTCTAGCGTTTAGAAAAAAAGGTGGAAAATTAGATTGTCTGTTTAACCAAATAAATAATAGTAATAACTAAAAAAATACGCTTTTATAGCTAAGCGAACCAAACAGTAGAAAATAATTTTTAATTACAAAGAGTTCATATTACGAGCCCCTTCCCACTTCAGTTGGCCCACTTCAAGATTTGTACCAAAATATGCCTTTATAAACTTAACATGACGAAACTATTTACTTCTAAAACTATTTATTTTCTCAAAAGCATTTTAGATAAACTCTAGTCGTAAAAAATATATTTGAAATCACTTAGACCTATAACTAATAGAACATCTGAACAAATAAACAATGTGCGAATAAATGCGCGAAGTCACAAAGCAACAATTGAAAGATTACCATTGGGTAACATCACCTTTATTTTTTATTACGGCTGAAATTCTTTGGGGCATAGTGTTAACCAAGTTTTGGCAAAAATTTCTTGTGAAACAATCCCATATTTCTTGAAGCTTTTGTCTCAGTCCGGTGGTACATTATTTTCTTCCATCCATTTTTATAGCCTTTTTTGAGGTATGGCACGCTACACCATCTTGCTGAAACACAAAATCTTGTTCAGATGTCAAACATTCTTCAATCACTGGTAAAAGCGATTCTTCTAAAATTGCCAAATATTTGTTTGTATAAACATTTACATCAATAAAATGAAGTTTTTCTACTCCTTTTGATGACATACTGCCCCAGACCATAATGGATGCTGGAAATTTCACTTTTCTCTTCAGACAGTCAACATGGAATGCTTCATTTTTTTGCGAATAACTCAACTGCGACTGTCACAACACAAACTTCGAATCGGGCCTCACTACTCCAATGTATTGCTCACCATTGTTGGGGTGTCCATTGTCTATGTTCTTTAGCCCATCTAAGCCGACTTTTCTTTTGCAGTGGAGTTAATAGTGGCTTTTCTTTGGCCTATAAACAAGTTGTGCAACTTTAGGGTTTTACTTCACTTTTTTTTATAAGAAAACTTACCTTGCAAGTGCTAAATCCCAGTTTGTGGGCCTCTCTATTAGTTGTGGACCTCGAAATTCTCCTTCCAACAGCGTCACTCCATAGAGCACTTAATTGCAAATAATTGGCACGCCTGTTTTTCACGATTATTCTTCTTAATGCTCTTCGGTCGGCATTTGTGATATTACTTCTTTTCACACATCGTGGCTTAATATTAACGGAACCAGTTACGTTATACCTTCTAACAATGTTTCTCACACTGTACCTCGATAAGTCTAACAAAGTTGCAATTTCTGAGTTTGATTTCCCAGAATTAAAAAAATTTATTATCAGTAACCGAATTTTCTCACTAATAACCTTTCCTCTACCCATTTTGGAAACCTTAACTACCCAAAACTATTTTAAACGTATTCTGACAGCTGTGTTTAATAAAAACAATTGTCATGGCTTTTATTTTTCACAGCCACCTATTCCTTATAGACTTATTTTGCATTGAAATGAAAATAGGTTGAATTGCTGTAATTGCAACATGTGTTATTTTTATACTGCAAATTTGATTAGGGAGTGATAAAGTTGGTGTTTTCTACTATATATTATGAATATATTCATTGTTAATATTTTAAACCTATAACACCCTGCTACATTTTTATTATTTGTGGTTGATAAAAAAAAACTAAGATTTCAATAGTTGGGTCAACTCAAGTGGGAAGGGGCTCGTACAGTGGTAGATGGTCGATGATACGTGTGCGCAATTTCAAATTAATCAAACTTCTGGAAATTGGTGAAAATTATGCCCAAAGATTCCGTTATATACATACATACATACAGGCCAAGCTTATAAAGGCGTGATAAAAAGACATTAAACCAAAACATAACAAGCGCGTCTTCAGTGCGTGATCACCACGTTGATATATTTCAGGAAACAGGGAGCATAACTGTTATTGTGCAGAATTTTTCGGACCCATATACAGGACCAATGCCAAACCAGGAGGTAGAGTGAGAGACGACACGGCGGGACATGTAGCCTCGCTGACCGGCGGCGTTCTGGAGTCTGATCACATAATAATAATAATAATAATAATAATAATAATAATAATAATAATAATAATATATTTATTTCCAACAAGTATACACCCAATCATAGGAAATTAGTGAAATCAAAACAAAATGGTACTATATATACACATGTATACACACACATATATATATATATATATACACATACATACATATATATATACAGGGTGACTTTGAAGTTGAGTCATTAATTTTCAGATAATGATTGTAGAAGGAAGATAAACCAAAATATGTGTGTAAAAATAAAAAAAAAAATAAAAAAAAATGTTACCTTGTTTTATAAAGTATCCTCCCGACAAGTATTTCAGTGCGGACCTGTGCGCCCAAAAGCATGTCACAAAAACTGTTCGAAATGATTTCCGTTTTGCTCGACGCACAGCTGGGCGCGTCTTAGCCATGTCTCTTTACAAGCACGCAATAAAATCACTGGTTGATTTCTGATCACTGTACTCATTTCCTCAATTCGAGCACGTAATTCTTCGCGTGTATTAACCGGTGTTTTATACACTAGAGTTTTTAGCCAACCCCACAAACAAAAGTCTAAAGGATTTAAGTCCGGAGACCTTGGCGGCCAAGGTACAAAACCGCCACGGCCGATCCAACGATTATTAAATTGTCTATTTAAAAATTCACGCACATTTCTTGCATAATGGGGTGGTGCCCCATCTTGTAAAAACCACATGTTTTGTCTAATATTTAAAGGCACATCTTCCAGTAAACCAGGCAAATTGTGTTGCAAGAAATCAAAATAATTTTCACCAGTTAAGCGATTTGGTAATTCAAAAGGCCCCACTAAAATTCCATT